TTATGTAAATTAGACATTTAGTATGCACAGATTTTAACCCCAAACTAATAAAGTCTGTACACTTTCTATGTACCAAATTTCATTGAAATGTGATAATTGGTTCTTGAGACATGGTTGGAATAGATACATTTTATGTATACATACATACAAACACAGACAGACAGACAGACAGACAGACAGACAGACAGACAGACAGACAGACAGACAGACAGACAGACAGACAGACAGACAGACAGACAGACAGACAGACAGACAGACAGACAGACAGACAGACAGACAGACAGACAGACAGACAGACAGACAGACAGACAGACAGACAGACAGACAGACATGGTAATCATACATGTTAAATATTTCACAATGTTGTCAATATGAGGAAATGAACGATCAATTAACAGATTGTTTATTTTATTTTTTTGATAATGAAAATAGTGCAGATGAGAATCTGGTAATCATAGTCACAAACATCATACGGTTACCAGCTAAATAATTTATGCATAGAAAGAAGGTGGGAACAGGGTTGGTACTATACTGCATAAACTGGTCAATAAACTGGTAGGGAGGTGAAGATCAGTTCTCCTGCATGAAGTTGATTGTCAAAGTAGCAATAATCACACATACCTTGCTATAGAGTAGAAAAAAAGAAAAATGTTTTCTGAAGAATCTGGCTTGCCATAATTCTGATATGTTGGAGTGGTTGCTTTAGATATGTCTACCATGATACTCCCCATAGCAGTTGTCAATGGAGATGTCTAAGTCAAATAAGAGCATGGTATGCTTTGGTTAGAGTTGTAAGACGCACACACAACACAGACAATAGTTACTGCTGTAAACCACTTGGTGAGAAAATGTTTTGGAAATTGGTAAAAATCATGTAATTTTGTCCCAGTAATTTCACTGGCGTATATGACACAACATTTCAGCGACTTTTGTCTTGCCATAAAATTACCAAATGTAGATAAGATCAAAACTATAAGTATCTGAGTTTGCTAAAGATGGGGACAGCATTTCACTACAGTAAGATTTATAGTATTTCAAGTTTACAGCTTAACTTTTATTGTTTTTTCGAAAACAAACCAAATGCTAAAATTAGGAAAAAGGCATTGAAGATAGTGAGTATGAGAAATAATGAAATTATCACCAAAAAACAAACAACCCATGTTCTTTGCATACATTGTACATGCCAATAAATATATTTATATAATATGCAGATATCATTTTCCAGAAAGAAAACTATTGTCAGCTTTATCAGGATGTCCTGGGATGACTATATTGAGTTACCTTTGGAAAAATTATGCTACACAGTGACTATGTATAGTTGTGTTCAAATGTATGCGCACTATGTTCCATTCACCATGTAATGTGGTATACAATTTTTAGCTCATGAATATTAACTGCAAGAAACACAAGCCATTCTCTGAACTGTTGATTCTACGGAAATGCATCTTAGTAACCAGAATTATTGTCTATATGCTGAATCCTAACTTACCGGAAGACGCTGGTATTTATTTAAGGCGGCTGCTAACTGCTGTGTCATAGTGCAATGATCAACTACTTTAGCAGGCAATTCACCCGACAAGCTAGTAGCTTGTGGTGTTATGGGTAACACTCCATTTGACAACTGTCGACATAATGGACAAGTGAATTCACCACGTGACACAGCTAAGTTCTGCGTCATGTGAACCTGCTCAGTCTGTAAAAAACAAACATTTCTGATCATCAGTAAGAATTTTTCACTTGATTAGTCTTTTTCAAGTTTTAATTTCAGCAACTCAAAAAGATTGCAGTAAACAAACTAATATATAAATGACAAAATAAATAAAACAGAAAGACCTGAACAACACACATAGTGTGCCAAATAGTGAGTTAGCTTGTACGTACCCTCAGAGACTGCATATACGACTTATGACAATGTAAGTGTAGACAATGACCACATGTCTGGACATGCACACCGCCTTCCCAACCAATACACATAGACAGTAAGCAGGATTCCTACAATTAGACACATAGAAATTAATTAGGGAAACAGTAACACACAATACAATTTTTTTTTTTTTTTTTGTCGCCTTGTAATTTGCAAATCTGCAAACTTATTTTTTACATTCGATTGCCTCAGTGGGACAAAACGTGTATTGAAAACTTAATATTCCTAATGTCTTTCTTATGCATACCTGTAGTATAATACTTTAACATGTATGATTCAGTAGGGCTGGAGAAAACTACGGTTACAGTATAGTAATACATACATGTACACAGACAGGCCATGTTTGTTTAAATAATGGGCTTCACTTCATCTTGAAAATTATTGTGCACATTCCTCTCCTCTTGTTATCAAGCAATGATTTACAGCGATAACACATTTCAAAACACAATTTAAAGAGGCACTTCCAGTTAAGCCTAATCTCACAACAAATTTACTTTCTGGATTAAAATAACAATGGATAACAAAAGATAGATTAACTTTGTAAACAACATTAAACAATAGTGTCCCATGATTCTTTGGTGCAATCCATGGGATTGAGCGGTTCCCCTTTAAACACATGTATTTTATAACAGACAGTGTGCCTACAAATTTCATTGATCATGGCATATAGTCCATGCATTGTACTTTATTAAATTGTCAACATGATGATGTGTTGATGTGTATTTTGAGAGAGAAATGACCACATTCAAACATCAACAAATCCATATGTGTAATTTTATATGCTGTCTGGGGAAGGCATGTCTGAGAAATGAGATAAAATGAATGAATGGTGATCTAAACATGTTAGATGGTATCAAGGTCAGTAGCATTTTAATAAAAGTAGAAAAAATCAACTTGAGTGAATGTAAAGAGATATAAATGTATGGTAATGACTCACTTCATTAAAGTACTTCTGTAAAGTACTCAGCCTGACATCATGTACTGAGCTGCACAGGTTACCTTGGTACAATGTCATACTATCACTAACTGGTAACTGACATGAATCACTATTCTGTGACCTATGACCCAGCACTGTAACATACAAAAGACATGTGATTATGGGCAGTGCTGATTAATAAATTACAGATACAGGTATGTGGTAACTAAGGTGTAGACAACAATTTTGGTTTTGTTTTCCATTAGCTCCAAACATCATTGAAGTTGACAGAGCACAGCATGTCTGTCATTTGTCCATCTGTCCATCTGTCAACAATTATATTTGACTTGTTCTAGAAAATCACTAGCTTTGATATTCAATACACGGGTACCTTGAAGTAGAGCTCAGATTTGTTCATTTCATAAGGATAAATTCAACCCTACTTTATATTATTATTATTATGTACATTTTGAAATAAGATGCAGGAACTGTACTCACCACTTGTGGACTGCAACAGTACAACCATTCCCATGGGATTGTCCAATGTTGTGGGAGAGCTTTGTGAACATATAACACAGTCATATTCAACAACTACTGGCTTACGAGTAGCCTGCATGGCTGGCTCCTCAGTGCCAACGCTGTCTTCAACAACTGTATGTAATAACAAAACAGAAATGATCAAAAGATAACATATCAGATAATATAACCAGGTAATGTATTCATAATCTGGCAATAAAAACAATTGAATATACATATCTGTGAAAACTAGTGCAAGCGTGACATGTAAGTAGGCACATGTTTTTAGAGAAATACGTCGGTTGTCCCATAGAAACCGCTACTCCTTGCAACTAGATTTTTAGATCTACTCTACTCCACTCCACTCCTAACAGAGGAAATACAGTATTCTAATCTCATCAAAGATTGAATCAACTGCTCACCATCAGCTTCCATGGATTGCTCCAAAAATTTCTTCTGTTTGGATGCAAACTGTGCCAGTAGTTTTTGTTGTCTTTCCCTTGCTTTCCGTCTCCTGAAATGATAACCATCAATGTACACCATTAAATAATTTGAAGGGCATGTTTATCTACCTGTGCTGTCTAATGAACACAGACAGGGTACATTTAGCCTTTATTTTTGTTATTTATTATCTAAAATTGTGATTTTTCATGAAACTGAAATTTTCTTTAAATTAATCTGACCCAAAACTTTTTTCTAATATATGCAAAAACCAAAAACATATATTTTGCGTTTGGACATTAGCTGCACAAGATTATGTAAAGTATGTTTGTTGTTCAACACGTCAAGGACACAATTGGACTTATAAAGAAAAAATGCAAAATATGAAATAAACAAGTTGTGAATGACATAATTTATGCATCAAATTTTATTAAAATTCATTTAATACTTCTGGAAACTACAGTGAAACTATCTTAAGCAAATCTTAATTAATATGCACATATTTCAGAACATGTATGAACTAAGTTTCATTGATTCTATTAGGTGTCTCTTGAATTATCAATAGAAAAGCTTAAAAACTAGCTAATTTTTATGCAGATTAGATAACTAACATGCACAAATTTTACATCTGTGGATTATCTCAGAGCACCATTTTATATGAAATGATATGAATTGTACTTGAGATATTATTAGTGGAAATGTCTACATGTTCTATGCATGGAATATTTATTTAGGTAATTAAAGTTGAATTATTGGATACATTTCATTTATAGAATTTGACAAATGAACTAGTATGTGCCATATAACAAAAGCAACAAATTATCCGAAACAAAAGTTGTTTGCAAACAGTTGAACATTACAGAGATGTTGTAGATTTGACTGTGATCAAACTTGTAACATTCATTGCATCCAAATGAATATTGCACATTTTAGACTTCCTAGATTAACACATATAGTTGTGTTAGGTTTCAAAGCAGGATTCAAAACAGGGTTGCATGTAGGCAATTAGGGCTACCCAGACAAAAAATAAATACGTCAAGTTCAAATAACATGTGAAAACTAAAACTACTGATTTTGCATCATAACTGAATTTACTACATACATGCATTTGTGTAGACGTTAAAAGACTTTAAAATACAACGTAATGAATAAGGTAGCAATTAAACTTACCTTTCAGCAACTGAATCTTTTTCAGTACATTCCGTATCACCTTGCTCCAATTGCACATGACAAATATTCTCCAATATTTTCTTGCAATCATTGCTTAATCTCGTCACTTTATCTAGAAATCTCTTTATGTAATACGGTCCATCACCAGCATGTAAACTTGAATCAACTTTACTGTCTTTTGTTGGGGGTTTATAAGAGTTCTCTTTCCCAGACAATTTAGAGTGTAGCTTCACTAACAGACTTAATAAGCTTTCATTGACTTGTATCGTCTCAGTGGAAGGCACTGCTGTTCTACTTCTAGCTGTACTACTAGATGTCTTAGGAATCATGCTAGGGCCACTACTACCTGCTTGTAATGATGCTGCTTGTGTCTGTCCAGATGACAGTATAGAGGCTAATGATGATGGAGTAGGAGCTGGTGTATGCCCCGCGGTATTAAGAGTCTGTCCCGGTGACGTTACCTGGGTTAATGATGCTGTGCTTGTACTAGCTGTCTCTGCTTCACTTGTATCCATACTTTCACCATCGCTGCTATCGCTATCTACGTTGTCTTGCATCGCTGTTATCTCACTGGATACAGCATCAGTAACAAAACCAGGTCCTGCCGATAAAAGACCAGCAGATGACACCAATACAAACACTTCATCATTTAACATAGATTCAAGTAACAGGTCTGCATTAGCTGTGGCATTTGCCTGAAAATTGAGAGTGAACAGTCAAAAACATAGTTTAACTATGGCGACTTTGCCATTTGTTATAGAATATTATTTCCCTTATCATAATTTGTTTCAATATGAATATGCAATGTCATTATTAATTTTGAATACAAACAAGTTTTAGAATTGAACAGCAGTGGGAAAGCAGTCAAAAATAACTTTTTTCAAGGGAATTATTATTTATAGTCTTTGAAGCGGGTATTACTCACATCACATATTAAGGACATAAAATTAGCATATTTCTATGTGAGGGGGTATAATTCAGGCACATATTAGGGGCAGATATCTGCATGCAAGTGGGTACAATTTATGGCTCATATTGAAGAAAATAAATGTATTAATTTAGGTATAGCAAAGAAATTTGCAGAGGAGGTATGGTTTCCATGAATTCAGTCTTGAATCACAAATGTACATGTATCATGTCAACCAGCATTCAACTATTCAACTGTGCAACACATCAAAATAACATCACATGCTCAAAAATTGTGAGCACAGAAGTAAATTTGAACAGATACAGTACAGTTATCACGTAAGCATTGGCATTTGTGGCATCATTGTCGTCTACGCATCACATCACCTCAGCTTCGCGTCATTGAAATTGAAGCCGTTTTCGCCACACTTATTTTGTTGCATCATCGTGGCCTCAGCTTTGCAGTCTCCTGGCATCAGCTTCAAAGTATTGTGACATCAGTATGACCTCATTATTTTCACACAGAAAGGCAGTAGAGAAAAACACATATACAGAAGAGTGATATGTAATCGATTTGAAATTCAAGGCAGTAAGGGGAATATAAAATAAAGAGTAAGATACAGTTTAAAAAAATATCTTGTTTAATTACTTTTGTGTTGTTGAGTATTGGGCACCAAAATCTTGGTGAAGTACATTACAATCGGCAAGGTGACAAGTGTCATATTGACTGTAAGAGTTTTCACGTCTCAACAGTTTCATTAAAACCTTCAGACTGTTTTTGCTGGGTGTTAAATGTTCCACCAATAGCTATGAAATAATCCACAAACTAGCCATAGCAGTGTCTGAATAAAAGACAGAGTCCGTCCCGGTACGATTCAGTACACATACGTTGAGTTATCCATTTTCGTCACGCTATTTTGAGTTCAGAAGAAGTCGTTTCCTCAAGCCATGGTGTGTCAGTGTAGAGAATACGAGAAAGGGCATATATGATTTGTGTGAATTCAACCAGTGTCAGTCATGGCATAAATATTTGTTTATGGTTTATACTGTTCAAATACTGTTTATATTTCACTTTCACTCAAATAGCCCCCCCCCCCCGCATATTTATTTATAACCAGTTTCAGCATCGCAATGTCCATGACGAAGTTTTGTTTTGACTAGATGCCAAAACGAAAGTTGCCAGATTTCGAAATAGATTGTCGATTTTCAGTCACATGACCAATCAAGCTCAACAGGGTGAATTTTTGTATTTGCTTTGCGTGTACCTGTTTTAAATTAGTTTTCAGTTCGGTGGGAGTTGCACTTCCTTGTAATTAGATTCAGGTAAATGCTGTTCTTTGTATCTGACTATTTTTTGTGTCTGTTCCAGAATCTAAGTTCATCCTTCTTAGGTTTCTTGTGGATGATAAGATGCTAGTTTGTAAATTGTCTAAAGTTACAGGTGTAATTAAAGTAACAGAAGAGGTTTTGATTCACTGGG